AGCATGTTTGTTAAAAAAACAAAAATAAAAATATTTTTTAGTCTTATTATACTTTTAAAACATAAAACTCCTTTTTATATTTATTTATTAATGATAATTTAATAATTTCACTACCCGAATTGCACTTTAATCCCATCTGAAAATCATAAAACTCAAACAAATATCAACATCATCTTCAATCACTTACAAGGCGCCATATGATATTGTAGGAAAAGTAATGAGCATCTTAAAAATAATAATGAGGGTAGTGTACAATCCATACCCTCATTTCTCACTCTATTTGATTTTGTCTCTATCTCTCTCTAGAATCTCATATAATGGCATTTGTTTGTGAGAAGGTTGTAATATTTTTTAGTTTAAAGGACATTTTTGTTTATATGACATTGCGAGAGGATAGCAATTCCTTGTGAGAGAGTCATAATTTTTTTTAGTTTAGAGTGCATTTTGGTTGGCATAACTTTCAAGGGTTGAAATTTATTTTTTTTTAATTTAGAAGGCGTTTAGTTGGTAGATTTTGTAATTATCTTCTTATCCTCTCCTTCCACCAATTCTCTCCTACAAACCCTCCATTCACCATCTATGTTCTATCTCTAACCATAACTTTATCATCGATGTCTCCCAAATACTTCATCATGATGAGCTTTGATCTTATGCCATGTTTTTCTTCTTCTTCTTCTTCTTCTTCTTCTTCTTCTTCTTTTTTTTTAGATTTGTTTTATTTTTATCTTTAAATTTAGGAAAGTGATTGTCAAGCCAATTGTATTCATATATATTATTTTTAAAATTGAATTTTATGTAGCTATATTCACATTTGTGTTGGTTTTGACAGTCTCATAATACCAATTTCCACTTAGTTGCCAGCAAAAACATGGCTTTAACCATAGGATTTATACAATTCTATATATGTGGCTTCCTTTTTATGTTGTGCAAGACTACAAGGTTTTGTTTTCTCTCTTTTTTTCCTCTAATTTTGTTTCAAGTTTGAGGAAATCATATAATTTATTTAAAATTAAAATGATAATTAACAAATTACTTGATGATATTATCATTATTTAATGTAGCTTATTAGAAGCAAAACATAGTTTTTGTATTTTATTATCGAAAAGTGTTTTTTAATCCTAATTATACCAAATTGCAAACATAATCCTTTAAATGAAAATCATTCTTAATTCAATAATTTATGTTTTACGATCCTATACAATCAAATAATAAAACAATACTTCCGACACGGACGTGGTGTCGACACCACACAGAAAGGCTAATTGATTCATGTAAATTTACGCCTTTCAAGTTGGGATATTAATGGGTTTGGGGTACCGCTTGTACTCCGTCTTTTAATAATAAATATAATTTTTTACCGTTCAAAAAAAAAAATAATAAAACAATACTTTTTATTATTTGTTTTTAATAATAAATTTTTAATTATATTTTTTTATAAAAATAAAAATGCATCCCAACAACATGCAAAGTAGGTTGGAAAATGCCAATTATTATTAAAATTAAAATTCAAGTGGCAAGACAAGCTCTATATACGACATTACTGAAAGAGACAAAGTTGACAGCATGCAAGAAATTGGAATGGGCAAGAGACGAGCTGAAAGAGACAACAAACAAGGAGATTGCTTAGAAGGCCGTGCTCACTACCTAAAATGACTACTACATGCTCATGGGACTTTGCGGGTCGTTAAGAGCTACAATGGCTGCTTCTATTTGTCCCTTCAACTCATCTAGATCTTTCCCCTTCTCATCTGCCTGCAACAAATGCAACAAATGCAACAAAAAAATTCCTTTTGAAAAAATTGCTTTAATTCCTTATT